TCTTCTCCACCCATTCTAACTGTCCTCCTATCCTCTTCTCCCCTTATGCTTCTTCCCTACTCCCCTGATTGGGGAGGACCTCCTCCTTTTCTATCTGACCCTAGCCTGTCAGGTCTCATCAAGACTGGCTGCCTCATCTGCCTCTGTGGCCTGGTAAGGCAGCACACCCCGGGGTGGGGAGTGATCAAAGAGCTTGCCACTGAGTTCATCTCAGAGGCAGCCTCTGTCCCCTTTGCTAGGGAATCTGCTTGGAATCTGAGCTTCCTATGGGTGTCCTCTAAGCAAGGGTTCTAAGTCTTCTTCATGCATGGTCCTTGGTAGGACTATCTGTCTCTGCACACCCCACTGGGTCCAGCTAGAATGACACTGTTGTTATACTTATGGAGTTCCTGCCCCCTCCAGTTCTTTCTATCTCCCACTTCTTCCACAAGATTCCCTGCACTCTGCCCAAAGTTTGGCTATAAGTCTCAATATCTCCTTTGATACCCTAGTGGATACAGTACTCCACGGGACCTCTGTGGAAGGCTCCTGTCATATTCCTTGTCTTCTCCTACTTTTGATGTCTATTCTGTTTGCCCTTCTGAATGAGGATTAAGCATCTTACCTAGCGTCCTCCTTGTTGTTTAGCTTCTTTAGAACTATAGATTTTAGTATGTTTATCCTATATTATATGTCAAATATCCATGTATAAGTGAGCACATACCATAGATGTTTCAATGAAATCGAATAGTAGACCCAGAAATAAACACACACCTAAGTAAACTTAATACTTTACAAAGAATCCAAAACCATACAATGGAAAAAAGATAGCATCTTCAACAAATTGTGCTGGTCTAACTAGATGTCTACATGTAGAAAAATGCAAATAAATTCATACTTATCACCCTGCACAAAGTTGAAGTCCAAATGGATCAAAGACCTCTACATAAAACCAGATAACACTAAATCTGTCAGAAGAAGAAGTGGTGAAGAGCCTTGACCTCATTGGCACAGGAAACAACTTCCTGAACAGTACACCAACAGCACAGGCTCTAAGATCAACAATTAATAAATGTGACCTCATGAAACTGAAAAGCTTCTGTAAAGCAAAGGATACTGTTATCAGAACAGAATGACAGCCTACAGACTGGGAAGGAGCTTCACCAACCCTACATCTGACAGAGGGCTAATATCTAGAATAAAAAACAACTGATGATGTTAAACACCAAAAATACAAGTAACCCAATTAAAAATAGGGTGCAGAGCTAAAGGGAGAATTCTCAATAGAGAAATATCGCATGGCAGAGAAACACTTAAAAGAATTACTTAACTTACTTGTTCATTTGGGAAATGCAAATCAAAATGACCCTGAGATTACACCTCACACCCATTAGAATAGCTAAGATAAAACAAAACAAACAACCAAACAAAAAACAGCAACAACAACAACAAACTCAAGGGCTGGTCATACTGGAGAGTATGTGGAGAAAGGGAAACCTTCCTCCATTGCTGGTAGGAATGTAAACTTGTACAATGACATGGAAAATTAATTTGGAGCTTTCTCAGAAAATTATTCAAAGTTTTACCTCAAGATCAAGCTATACCATTCCTAAGCATATACCCCAAAGATGCCCCACCATTCAATAAGGACATTTTACTCAACTATTTTCATAGCAGCTTTATTTGTAATAGCCAAAAACTGGAAACCACCTAGATGTTCCTTAGTGGAGGGATGGATACAGAAAGTGTGGTACAATTACACAATGAAATAATACTCAGCAATTAAAAACAAGAAAATTATGAAATTTGAAGACAAATGGTGGGAACTAGAAAAAAAACATACTGAGTGCTGTAGCTACCCTTTTTATATCTACTTTCACTGAATTGAAATTTTTTAAATTTCATTTTATTTTATTAATTACACTTGATTCACTTTGTATCCCCCCATAAGCCCCACCCTCCTCCCCTCCCAGTCCCACCCTCTCTCCCCTTTCTTCATGCATGCCCCTCCCCAAGTCCACTGATAAGGGAGGTCCTTCTCTCCTTCCTTCTGATCTTAGTCTATCAAATCACATCAGGAGTGGCTGCATTGTCATCTTCTGTGGCCTGGTAAGGCTGCTCTCCCCTCAGGGGGAGGTGATCAAAGAACAGGCCAATCAGATTATGTCAGAGGCAGTCCCTCTTCCCATTACTATGTAGCCCACTTGGACACTAAACTGCCATGGACTGCATATGTGCAGGGGTTCTAGGTTATCTCCTTGCCTGGTACTTGGTTGGAATATGAGTCTCTGGGAAGACCCCTGTGTTCAAATTTTCTGGTTCTGTTGCTCTCCTTGTGGGGTTCCTGTCCTCTCCAGATCTTACTATTTCCCACTTCTTACATAAGATTCCATGCACTCTGCCCAACAGTTGGCCATAAGTCTCAGCAGTGAGATTTTTTTAAGGGAGTTTAATTTCCTATATTAAAAAGTTGGCATGTTTTCCAAACTATGTAAATGTTTTTTGTTTTTTGTTTTGGTGGGGGGGGCAAAGCCCAGCAAAGAATAACTCATTTTATCATTTTTAATTTGAAAGTAAATGTTTACTTTCTGTAAGCAGAGGAGTACACAGCAAACTATGAAGACTGAAATCATAATTTAAGCAAAAGATAGAAAGGTATAATCTTAATAAATTATTAAAGAATACAGTACAGGCTTAACATAGAAGGATAATAAAAGTAAAATAAGCTGTAATTAATAAAAAATAAATAAGTTAAAAATTGCAATGAAAAATGTTTATTATTAACAGAAGTCACTGTTTCTTGATTGTAAGCCAAGGGCTTTGGGATAACTAGGAGCAGAGCTCAAATTAGTGTACACATGATCATATGTGTATTTTGGCCTGGCTACTGCCACAAACAGAAAAAAAAAAGTATCTTAAGGTGTGCTTTCTAAATATACACTCCAAGATGAAAAACTTCAGAATGTGTAAAAAATATGCCATCGGGTTTTTTTTTTTGTTGTTGTTGTTGTTTGTGTTTTTTGTTTGTTTGTTTTTTTTGTTTTTGTTTTTTTGGTTTTTTTGGTTTAGCAAGAAGCAGCTGTTTCTTTGCTCAGGGCTTTAAACCAAGCTCTAGGAAGCAAATAGCATGACACTGAAATACTGCATAGCAGTGAGAGTGGTGACATGCAGCTTTGATAATGAAGTTCATTAAGAGAGAAGTCTGCTTCACTGCAGACTGTACGACCTATTTGTCAGAAACCTGTGTACTGTTCATAAACAAAGCCTGATGTGACTTTTCAGAATGTTAGAACTAACTGGGAATAAGGAGGGGAGAGCTGAGACCAGACAAAAGTCACTTTGGTTGTTTCAGTAAGATCTATTTTTCTCAGGAGACTTTGTTTTTCTTTCTTTTACATATATGGCATGGGAAAAGATAGCTCACATTGAGTATCTAATTTATTATGTTTTTCTGAAAATATACATGTTGATGAGTAGACCTAAGAGTTACAAAATTAAAAACAAACAAACAAACAAACAAACAAACACCTGATTCCTAGTTGAGAGGGAAGAATGTCTGCTCTTTCTTATTTGGGGTAGGAAATCAATGATTTAAAGAAAATAATAGATTCAACATAATTGGGAATATGGCTTAAGTTATGGTGTATTTGTTTCAAGTACCTGCACTTTCTTACTGATGTGGTTTATTCAGTAACGAACCAACTAGAATTGATGAAATGCCGTGCTGAGAATTAATTGCATGACTGTCAATTATGTCTGAAGATACCGTGTATTAGCTAACTAGAAACACAGAATCTCAGAATAGGAGACTTCTCTGAATTGAAGATGTGCTTAGTCCAACCATTCCTGTGACAAGGCATGTATGACTCAAGGGTAAGGTGATTCAGGCATCAGATGCCATGCCTTGATGTCAAAATCTCCAATATATTATTGATGTACAGGCTGTGTTGTTACTGGTCTTATATATATATTTTAAAGTTAACTGAACTTGTTACTAGGTAAAGGTTTTTGTTATTTATGGGTTTGATTATCAGATTAAATTGAGGACAGTGGCCGGGATTGAGCAGGCTGAATTTTGTTACTGGGGAAATGATGTTTACCTGCGCTTTATAAAGTGCCATGTGTTCTCAGTGCACAGCTATCAGAGTGTTCGGTAAAAACATCAGGAGAAAGCAATTGTACTTTGCAAAAATAGCTCAGTTTAGCTACAACAAATCTATCTCCCTTTTATTTTTATTTCTTCTTTTAAGCACAAGTTTTTCAAATGTTTAGGATGAGAATTTTAGATATAAATCAAGTTTTGATAAGACCTACAAATATGTAACTATTAAAGTTCAATTAAAAACAAGATGGAAAATGGATCATATTAACAAATAGGATCAGTTTAATAAAGACAAGCCTAGCAAATTCTGAGAGAAGGAGAAAATTCTCATGCTGTACTAATTATTACAGTAACATTAATAGTAATGTTGACATAATTATCTACGTGACTAAAATTTAGTAAGACTCTTGCAACTTTATACTTTCTTATAAAAAACAAAACACAACCCTGATAAATTAGTTTGCCAAGAATCAACTACAAATCTGATCACCCTTCTAACTAGGTTAGATTCTTCAGTCTGTAGCATCCAGGTGCTGTCTACTAATTCTGGTCTGTTTTCAGGAAGATCCCTCTTTACTTAACCAGAATCTTCTCATACTGCAGTTGCTTCTACTAACACACTAACCCTGCTCCTGGGCAAACAATTCCCACTTTCTCATTTGGAATTTAGTCATGCACCCAATATCAACCTTTACTCTGTAAAACCCATTTCAGAGATTTCTGTATTTATTGTTATGAATGGAATGTTTTCCTTGTCCTGTAATTAAGGAGTGACAAGATTCAATGTAACCAACAAAAAAACTCAATAGTCATTGAGTAATTTTGCCAGAAATTAAAATAGATAGCTAGATACATAGACAGATAGATATAAATAAATGAATGAATAAATAAAGAAATAAATAAAGCTAGAGATACCCACCTTTAGGTCAATTGAGCCAGGTTGACTTGATTTGCTATAAATTTCCAACTGATTCTTAATAGGGGAGAGCCACAGAAACAGATGATCTAGCTGCTCTTCAAGCTGTTCAAAATCTTTTAAGTGAAATTCAAGTTCTTCTTGTTTTTCAGGTAAAGCTCTGGAGATCTGAAAGTGAACCACCATGTTCATGTGTAATTAACACATTAGAAATCATTGAGTGAAATTTAAAAATAAAACACAGGAAAATTGGAATACTTCCATGCAGATTTACAATTTGAGATCCGTCCTACCAAGAATCAAGATACCTCTAAAAGATGGTAACACCATCTTCACAAACACGCTATATGAAATAAGAAGAATCTGAAGTTTTCATTGCTTTACTTATTATATAAATTTTTAAAAAAATAATTTTATTTTTTGTATTTTTATTAATTATTATTATTTATTATAATGTATATTCACTTTGTATCCTGGCTGTGGTTCCTTCCCTTGCCTCCTCCCAATCCCACCCTCTCTCTGTCTTCTCTCCCTATGACCTTCCCCTAGTACACAGATAGGGGAGGTCCTCCACCCTTTCCATCTGACCCTAGCCTATCAGGTCTCATCAGGACTGGCTGCATTATCTTACTCTGTGGCCTGGTAAGCCTGCACCTTCCAGGGGAAGGTGATCAGAGAGCCTGCCACTGTGTTCATGCCAGAGACAAATTTGGCTCCCCTTACTAGGAAACCCACTTGGAGAATTAGTGTATGGGCTACATCTGTGCAGGGGGTTTAGGTCTTCTCCATGCATGGTCCTTGTTTGGGTTATCAGTCTCCGCAGGGTCCCCAGGGCCTAATGTTTTTTTTTTTTCTTTCTTTCTTTCTTTCTTTCTTTCTTTCTTTCTTTCTTTCTTTCTTTCTTTCTTTCTTTCTCTCTCTCTCTCTCTTTCCTTCTTTCTATTTATTTATCTATTTGTTTACTTATTTATCTATTTATCTATCTTTTTATATATTTATTTATATATATATATATATATTTATTTATTTATTTATTTATTTAGTTATTGCTCTGTTGGTCTCCTTATGGAGCTCCTGTCCCTCAGCCTCTGTTTTGATTACCTTGATCAGTGGAGTCTTTCAGAAGCCATCTGTGACAGGCTCCTATCCTGTTCCCTATCTTCTCCTGCTTCCAATGTCTATCACGTTTGCACTTCTGAGTGAGGACTGAGATCATCCTAGGGTCTTCCTTGCTGTTCAGCTTCTTCAGGGGTGAAGAATTTCTTCAGATTTTAGTATGTTTATCCTATATGATATATCTAATAACCACTTATGAGTGAGCATATACCATGTGTGTCTTTCTGCTTCTGGGTTACCTCACTCAAGATGATCTTTTCCAGTTCCTAATTTTATTTTTTTACATTTTTTCATTATATATCCTAATTGAAGTCCCCTCCCTTAACTCCCCTAAGTTCTACCCTCTGTTCGTTTTTTCCCTCATTCCCTTCCCCTAGACCTCTGAAAGGGAAGTTCTCCACCTTCTTCACATAAGTTTATTCAAAGCATTTATTATTTGTTGTTATTTTCTAAGTTTTTATGATTTATAATTTGTTAATAAAGAAAAAACAAAGTTAAAGGAAATCATTGGGTTTTACCAAAAATGTTCTATATTTTACAGACTCCAATGCCTCTTTATAAATGCATAATATATATCTGAGCCAGGTGTTGTGCCTCACATCTGTAATGACAGCATATATGAAATGGAGGTAGGTGAATTGCTATGAGTAGGAGGCTAATCTGGGATATAGGGTAAGTTCAAGGCTAGCTAGTACTACAGAATGAGACCCTGTATCAAAAAAGCACAAGAAAAATAGCTGCCTCACACAGATGTACATTGCAACTGATTGAAGTCAAGGAGTCCATTCCTTATTTAACTTTTCATTTTCTAAATGTGTATGCCAATTACAAAGCCTCTTCAGTATTACAAGGACATGCACCAAATTACAGAGTATTAGTACTAGATATATAACTGAATCTTTTCCAAGTAACTATGGTTTATACTAACAGAATATAAAGAAATTAAAACCAAAGTAAACTATATTTTGTTGGTATAACAATAACTTCTACTATATTTTCTGTTCATTTCTATTTAATGAAAATTATGCAAAGGAATATTTTATGTAAATGAAAAATTTGTAAGATTATTATTTTTCTGAGCTACAGTTTGTGAGGCCTAATGTATATAGTTTAAGCAGACATTGATGAACAAATTAAAAAGTAAACATAGCATTTGGATGAAAGGAGACTAACCGAATGACTGCTGGTTATTTTTATAAATGGCTTAATATATACTAAGCATCATGGTTGGAAGTTTCAAATTTATTGCTCTCTTTAACATCCTATGATGCCATCATATTGCAGTTGTTATCACCTAATTTTAAGCATAGATATCACTGGACTTGACAAATGCCAAATACATTTGGAAAGGATATGCTACAAGGTTACATGTTGTCTCATTTAATATTAGGTACTTAGATTTAAAGCCTGGTATGTGCTTTTTGCCGAAGATCCTAGCCCTGTTTTCCCTAACTTCTAGTACATAATGCACACACACACACACACACACACACACACACACACACACACACAAACACACAAAACTAAATAAAGTTAAAAATTGCTTAGAACAATTCTCTGTATAATAGTGAAAGATAAAACTGTTTTTTTTACCATCATGATTTTATTAATGTGTAAATTATGCCCATTATGTGTTTTTTTAAATTTAATTTTATTTTTCTTTTTAGTTACATTTTGTTAACTCTGTGTCCCAGCTGTATCCCGCTCCCTCATTCCCTCCCCAACCCCACACTCCCTCCCTGGTCTCCTCCCTGCCCCTTTCCAACTGTTAAATATTAACAACAGTTGTTCAAATTCCTATGTAAACAGAAAGCCAGGATGAGCAATAGTGAAGCTATTGTCTTCAGGATATCAAAAATTAAAACTAATATAAAGGAATAGTGTAAGCTTGTAATGTCAACAATTCATTATATTTGACACTCTTTTGTAGTAAGAATGTAATATTACACAGTGAATCAATAACTGTGTCTTGGTGCATCCGTGGAAGGGGAGTAAGTTTGGAATGGCTGGGGGCATGGAGTCCTCAGGCAGCAATGACTCTGTGAAAAACAGATTTCTTAAGAGACAGCTTCAGAGAGACAGTTCATTTAATTTGTAGGGGGAGGCTACTTAAACCTTTAGGCTTTAGGGATGAGTGTAAATCATTGGCTGGGGCAAGAGTGCTGAGAATGCCTTACTTTCATGAGGAGGAATTCCATGTGCTGCCAAACATGATCTTATAAGGGAAGAGAAACTTTAACCTGGCGGCTAGGCTATGTGACCTAAAGAGCACAAGAGTGGTAACACAGGGCTATATGCACTTAGGCATGATGGCCCAGGGTAGGGGTGGGCAGTCCTATTCCTGCTAATCTCTGGATAAGATTTCTGGGGTTAGACTATTCCGACACCACTCTTGCTCCAAGCTGGCTACTAGTCCTACATCTCACCTGTTTTGTTTTATGAATGGGAGGTATAATCATACTTTTCACCCTCTAGATTGGAAATTGTTTGGTTTTGAACCACAACCAGGTTGTGAATGGCTGACAGTGTTGCTTACTTCTTTTAGAAATTGGATGAAACTGGGCACCAGGTAGAGGAAGGTTCCAATGGCCAGTACAGGGCCAATGAGGTGAAGAAGCCAAGCTACCAAAGCTATCAAAGGATTTGCTTACCATAGTGTGGATGTACCTGCTGCACATTGAGCTCAGAGATCTCACTGGAGAGCCTTAAGTGCCTGTTCTACTAGCCCAAAGTCATTGACAAAGAAAGAGCATCCTTCTCCCAGGACATGTTTCTCTTTGTTCTGCTACCAGCATAGAGGTTTCCTGTTTTGTTTTGTTTTCACTTTTTCTTTATTATTATTGTTTTTATTACTGTTATTATTATTTATTACAATTTATTCACTTTGTATCCTGGCTGTATCCTCATCTTCTTTTTGTCTCACACTTCTTTCCTCCCTCCCTTCCTTTCTCCCTATATTTCTCCCTTAGCCCAATGATAGGGGAGGTCCTCAGCCCCTAATCCTAACCTATCAGGTCTTATCAGGACTGTCTGGAACCTCTTTCTCTCTGGCATAATTAGACCACCTAGCCAGGGGGGGGGGTAATCACAGAGTGCACATCAGAGACAGCTCCTGCTCTCCTTACTAGGGAAACCACATGGAAACTGAGCTGGCCATGGTCTACATCTGAGCAGGGAATCTAGGTCCTCTCAATGCATAGACTTTGTTTGATTCATCAGTCTCTGTAAGACCCCCTGAGCCCAGATATTTGGGTTACATTTGTCTCCTTGTGGAGCTCCTGTACTCTCAAGGTCTTTCTATCTCCCCTTTATTTCATAACATTTCCTGCCCTCTGCCCAAAGTTTGGCTAAGAGTCTCAGCATCTGCTTCAATACTCTGGTGGTTAGAGTCTTTTTTTTAAAATTTTTTTATTAATTACACTTTATTCATTTTGTATCCCCCCATAAGCCCCTCTCTCCTCCCCTCCCGATCCCACCCTCCCTCCCCTTTCTGCATGCATAGACACCCTGTGGAAGGCTCCTGTTATGTTCCCTGTTTTCTCCTACTTCTGATGTATATCCTGTTTGCCCTTTTGAATGAGGATTAAGCATCTTCCCTAGTGTCCTCCTTGTTGTTAAGCTTCTTTAGGACTATATGCTTATAATATATAGTCCTATAATCTGATCTAATCTAATCTAGTATAGTATAATATAATATAGTAAAATATAATATATAATTAGTATGCTTTTCCTATATTACATGGCTAATATTCACGTATAAGTGAGTATATACCATATGTATCTTTCTGCTTCTGGGTTACCTCACTCAGGATCATCTCTCTTAGTTCCATACTGCAAATTTCATGATTTTCTTGTTTTTAATTGCTGAGTAGTATTCCATTGTGTACCACAATTTCTGTATCTATTCTTCAGTTGAGGAGCATCTAGGTTATTTCTAAATTCTGGCTACTATGAATAAAGCTGCTCCCCCAACAAACAAATAATATATGCTATAAAATCAACAATAAATAAATGGGTTCTCATGAAACTGAACAGCTTCTGTAATACAAAGG